TGTTGAAAGACCAGACCTGCCATCTCCTTCCCATCAGCCCAAGATCCCAGAGTTCTGCTGTGGCTGCCTTGGTCTGTTAAGAAAATGTCCCCAGTTTCACAGAGTTCCACCCCTAGACAAAGAACTTCAGACAACCATTGACTGTTGGGAGAAGGAAAATGAGCATCTCCCACGAATGAGGCCCCTTTACTGGTTGCTCAATGTACAATGGTCAGCCTTGAGATACCATATACCTACCAACAACAAAAATGTATTCAGGAGGCTGTGTGTGTGTGTGTGTGTGTGTGTGTGTGTGTGTGTGTGTGTGTATGTTCAACAAATAAAATCAAAGAAAAAGAGGCTATCACATTGAGGGGGTATGGGAGGATTTGAGGAGGATAACTGAAAGGAGATTGAAGAAAGAAAGGAAAAGGAGAAGAGAGAAAATTCTATTTCAATTTAAAACATTAAAAATAAAAGTGTCTGAGGCTAAAAAGATAGTCTAAGTTTCAAAAATAAAATTTGCTAGAAAACCTTTTCCCAGAAAATAAATACTTCACATACAACAACAACAACGAAGCAACTTTTGCCCCTTGAATGCCCCTAAATGGCAGTTAGGGTCTACAGCAGCCTTAGTACTTTTGTTTAATTAGAGAATAAGTTTGTGGTGATATTTTATTTGTGTCCACTAATAAAATTTATCTGAGGATCAGAGGGAAAAGGCCAGCCATTATAAATAAACACAGAAGTCAGGCAATGGTAGCACATGCCCTTAATCCTACCCCTTAGGAGGCAGGGATCTGTCTGGATCTCTATGAGTTCAATGCCACACTGGGAAGAGAGCCAGGTGTGTTGGTACACACCTTAAATTCCAACACTAGTTAACCATGGATGTCTGGAGGTCTGTACAGACAGACAGGAAGTGGCAGAGCTGGGCAGGAAGAGGAAGTGATGTAGCTGGACAGAGTGAGCAAATCATATGGCAGAACAGCAAGGCATACAGGCGTGGGTAGACAGGAAGTAGCTCGTCTTTGGAAGCTGAGGTATCGGTGAGTTAAGGCTGAAGTTGGTTTGTCCTATTCCTCTGATTTCTCTCAGGCTTTAACCCAAATTTCTGGCTCCGTGTTTTTTTATTTAATAAGACCGGTTAGAAATTTGTCTACATAAATTAAATAAGGCTTGGTGGATCTGTCCAAAAATCTAGCAGACATGATTTCCAATGTTATCCATATGGGAAAATACACGTTGACTTTCAACATCTTGCATATGGCCCACATAAACACAGCTGATGGGATGCTACAATGAACAACTAAATTTGACTACTGTCACATTAAAGTCCTTTGGAGAAGTACAGGTGCCTCGGTGCTGACTGTTATCACCTTGGCTAGACTCTGCTCAAATATTTCCTCTTATCTGGAATAGAGGATCTGACTTTATCACACACATCACCATATGAAATAACCGCTTTCTTCCTTGAAGTCTGGCTGGCCTTTGAGAATGTGCATGGCTAAGGGCAGACATCTTTGTTGGGCTTACCCAGCAGTTTTCCCAGTGTCTTCAGCAGAGTCTTGATTATGGATCTTGATATCTGTTGGAGGGGCAGACCAGCCTTTGTTATGCAGTTTCGTTTCTCTCCACTCTCTGAGGCAGACTTAGACCCTTGTGCTTCATTTTCGTTTCGAAGGAGCTTCAGTTATAAGATCCCTCGAAACCTTCTGAGGCTTAAACTTTTCATCTTTGCTCTAAATAGCACAGGAGAAATGGCCCAGTGGGTAGAAGCCACACAAACCTGGGACCTGAGTTCGATCCCTGGAACCCACTTAAAAAC